TATGAACATTATCTGGTCCATGAACAAAATAAATGAGGTTAATTCTGCTTTAGCATACATTTCATATATGAATAACTTACTGACCTCTCTGACACTGCCTCTGCTTTATCTGCAGAGAACAGGGAAGCTACAGCAGTGTGTGAGAACATTTGGAATAAGGAAATAAATAGAAAGATTCAAAGGCTCAGTTTTCTTCCTCAGTTTTCAGTGAGATTTATATTTTGGATCATAGAAACTCTAAGAAATCATCCCGAGTTTGCAGCAAACATTTTGTATGTGGAGCGCCATCAAAGCAAAACCCCAGTCCCTCGCCAAAGTGAAAGGCACCAACTGTTCACCAAGAAACACCTTCCACTGCAAAGAGACCAAGACGTGATGTTGCTGTAAAACCACAAGAACAAAAAAGTGCAGCTCAGTCTGTTTGTCTTCTGCACCTCTCACTTAAAAAACGGGATCCCACTTTGTTGTCGCTCCACATACAAAATGATCACTACAAACTCAGGATGATTTCTTAGACAGTCAAAGGTTTCCTTTTTGGTTCTTTCTGTGGATCCTTTCTTTCAGTATTTTTCAATTCCATTGGGAAGAGAAACAGTTTGAACAGAGGTTTGCAGTCACACACATCTGATTCTCTTTTGCATTTATGGAGTTCGCAAACAAATTTCTCGAGCCGTTTTCCACTGTTAGTACATCCAACAACCACACAATTACAATGTCCAAATCCCCAAACTAAAATATGACAATATCAGAACCAGAAACAAAAGTGATATGGTTCAAAAGACTAGAAAAGACTGACTTTGTCAGTAGACACATCCCACTGGGAAAACAAACATGGTGGTTTGATGCTCACTTTTTTGGAAAATCCTTCCCAGTATGAATTGCGCAATGACCGGAAGTCCAAAATTCATGATGCATCTATTAGATCTTACTTTAGATCTGAGCTACACCACATCCTATTGTGATAGTATCGGGTTTATGGGTCACAAACCCGCCTATAAAAGGGGCACTATGCGCTATGCTCGCCCCTCCCTCCTGAACGCCGACCGCTGACGTTGCACGCTGGCGGAGCCAAGCTGTCATGGCCGCAAGACGCGAGGCCCCGAGTGGACCACGTTTAGGCGCACTAAGTTTACTGTTGCAAGGTGTTCAGCGCAGTAATTGCGGAGAGTGTGCGGGCATCGTGGGGGTAAGTGGGGAAATCGTCTTGCTGGCTCAGTAACGCCGTGTGTGAGGTTAACGCAGGTTGTGTTTTTAGCTTTTGTGTCTCGGCGCTGGGCGGTCCTCTGCGTGTTTGGGTGGCGTGCCGCGGTGAATTCTACACGGCTCCTGCTGGCGGGAAGCCTCCCCTTTTCTTTCTCTTTTCTTTCTCCGTGTACCTGGTCTGTTCTGTGGTCGTGGCCCTTGGTGAAAGGACTCGCCCTCTGAAGTCTTCGTCTTGGGTGAAGCGCTACTGCGCGGCGCAATATTGACTGTGATAATGGTCCTAAGGTAACTCCAAGCAACGAGGCCATGCGACCCAATGAACGCACAGGACTGGTGGAGGATATTTGTTATTAACCCTTTGCAAAAATGGATAATAAATTCAATGTAAAGTATATTCAAGTCTCACGCCATATTCAGTCAACGAACCTGTGTGTCTATAGTGGGTGGGGAAAAACACTGTGTCCTGGCATTACCAGGTGGCGTTGTTGGCAACTTTACTACCTTGAAGTACATGTACAAATATGCTGCTCTGCTACACTATGTTTCGGTCATGCTTCCTTTTTCCTGTTTAGTTCTTTTTTGGGGGGTTCAGTGCTGCAGACAACAAGCTTCCAATCGAAGTATCACCAACTTTGACTTTTTTTTTTACCTTAAACCTGACCGTGATGGAAGTTATCAGCGTTTTTGGATAAGCTACAGCTCATGTATCTCAGTATATCATTTCAATTATCATACAGGATTTCTCATTGGGGAATTTCCTTGGATTGGGCAAACGGTTTACCCCATTTTTACCAGCGTGGAACATTACATAGCTGTTGTGCACCCTATAATATATTTAAACCTAAAAAATGGTCATGGACTTTGAGTCAGATACATCAGCAGTGCGTCTCTTTGGATTTTTGCCTTCATAGGATTGTTTTTTCTCTTCAGATTTCTTCTTCTTAGAAATTAGCAATGGAATTATACTTTTAATTACGATGTTTTTTTTGTTGTTTTTTTTTCTGTCTGTCTGTTGTGCATGTTTTAAACCGCTCAAAACCTGGAGATGAAGTCGAGAATAGAGAAATCCAAATGTAGTGCTATTCAAGTGATAGCTGTAATAATGGTTGTTTTGTTTTGGAAGTTCTTGCGGAATTTGACTGACTGTGTGTTTTCTTACGTCTCCAAAACAGGACAGTTGTATCCAGAAAGGTGTGTGAAGGCACAGCATCTCGTAAGGTGGTTAAAAATATGGTCACTTATCTTATGCTTTCTGTACTGTACTTACACAGAGCAAGAAAAACACCAAAATGTAACTGACGGGGCTACAAACGTAGATTGTGCAAAGAAGTGGACTAAGGCTGCGTTCAGACTACAGGGCTTAATGCTCAATTTTTTTTGCAAGGTTGTTCACATTTCCAATTAAATGTGACTTGTATGTGATCTACAGTGTGAACTTTAAACGCCCCAGAAGCCACGACGACGTTACACGCAGCGAGTGTGCTCAGTGTTTATGGAAGTCGCCTAAACGCTGGGCTTGTCTCCCAAAATACAGTCCAGTTCTTCATAAAATGGACAGATTACACGTCCACGACCGCTTCGTTTGTTTGAATCTTTAGCCTCCTTGGATATGGCTCACAGGGTTTTCATTAACATTGGAGCCAGGATCACCTCTAGGACATTTCTTTAACAATCATTTAAAAAAAACTCCCAGTTTCGGTAAAACCCCTCCTATTTGGCCTGAATACAGTAATCCCCCAAAATATTAATTAACTCACTAACCTCACTTTCCATCCAAAAAATCGGTTCTGTCGTTCAAACTGTCATTAAAAGATCAGATACAGGTCACATAGGGGCAAAAAATCGGATTTTGGCACTTCAGGCTGCAGTCTGAACGTACCTTAGGTGAGTGTGACATCACCTAAGCATAGGTGCATAGCATTCAGCTCCAGTCAAGTGAAGCTCATTGAGGCTTGTAGCTACAGTACAAATTTGGAGTCGAATTCCATATTTGGGCTTCCGACCGTGAGTGTCATACCAACCAAAGAGCCAATCTGGAGCGAGTTTGTTGAAGGTAACGCCCATTCACCTCCACGCCGCAGGTTTATGGGATAGCGGGTGCTTAGCAACGCTGTCAATCAAACATGTTGCTAATGTTTGCGGGAACAACATGGATTCTTGTGAGCTTTAAGCCATGTTAGAGTGCCATTTCCTCATCAGAAACATACCTGGAGTTGTGTTTTGTTTACATATGTTTGAGTAATCTTTTATTATTAGTCTGTCTGTATTTCCAAATGCTCCAATGCTCTGTTCCACCTTGTGATGTCATGAAGCAGTATTTTTCAAGTTAATGGTTACTTTTTAACTTTTGTTCAGTCAAGATTGGCAAATCCAGGGATGAACTTACCTAAATGATTCTAGTCAACGTGTATAGAATTTAAAAACACAGTGGAGCACTTCCTGTATTACTGCATGACATCACAACAGTGAAGAATTCAGCCTATTATGGTAGAGTTAGAACTTCTTTAAAGGCATGTTTAAAAGCTGATATATAACCTCCATTAGAAAAGCACAAATTAAATATAGGGCATAATAAAAAATAAAAAAAACTACCAATAAAATGAATGATGTATGGCTGTTTTATTATCAAATTTTACATCTGTATTACATTACATAGCTACAATTTACACTTCTGAGTTAGCAGCAGCATATTAAGAGACATTAACTGTACACAAAAACAAAATATGGATCAACTTTTTAATTTACTCATTTCAAATGCGGCTTGATGGCAGGCTAGTTTTGGTTACATTATTCAATTTAGATTACAGAAATGTATATTAAATATCGAGGGCAAGACAAAAAAAAAAAGGCAATGTTAAATAGAATTAGTAAGATTTATAAAGATGAATTTTAAAGAGTTTCTAGTGCAAAAGTACTCCATATAACAAGTTGGAAATGGAAGTCCAGCTTTGAAATAAGCTATGATACAAGCTAGCTGCAGGCCGCAAGTTTTTATTTTATTTTTTTATTTTTTTGGTTTTAACCCACATTTTTGGTTAATTTCTATAAATGCTGAGCCTTTTCACCGAAAAAAAAAAAAAAAAAAAGGCACCAAGGTCAAAGTCTTCTATGTACAAATGAACAAAAAAAAGGGACAGTTCAGAATTTTGGACATAGGGCCTCATTTCCTAGTGAGCCAGAGTGTTGGAGACGTGTGAAGACACTTTTGAAATATTTCATCCAGTACTTGTGTTTGCAGAGGTCGCTGGTGCTAGGCTAGTGCATGTCAATGGCCATAGTTATATGCCACTAAAAACATGTGTCTTATCCACTCCACAAAACACCCGAAGCAAATCTATTATTACACCAGACTGTCCATGTGAATGTCTGTGTCAATCGAATACATTTAGAAGTAAAACCAACCTTGTATTTGAAGGATTTATATCTGAGCAGCAGCAGTGAGTTGTACTTCCTGACAGAAAGCTCGGCAGCGGCGGACTGATATCACCTGGCACCAACTGGCTCTATAATAGTCTGTTTACCTGCAGTTGCCAAAGCGACACATAGAGCACTGCTGCTGAGAAAACAGTCCCTCAACATCCGACAGTTCACATGATACAAGGTTGGTTTTACTTCTGAAATTATTCTATCGACACAGACATTCACATGGACAGTCTGGTGTAATAATAGATTTGTTTCGGGTGTTTTGTGGAGTGGGTAAGATTGTTTTTAGCGGCAGGATAACTATGGCCATTGACTTGCACTAGCCTAGCACCAACAACCTCTCCAAATACAAGGACTGGATGGATTATTTCAAAAAGTGTCTCCACACGTCTACAGTACTCTGGCTCACTAGGAAATGAGCCCCTATGTCCAAAATTCTGAACTGTCCCTTTAAAATTAAATAAGCGAAAACTGAAAGAGAATAGCGAATTGATGGAGCTGTTTCAATTGGAGACTTGGTCCTCTTTCAACCTCTACTCCACCAAAAATATGGAATTTGAATCGAAACGATTCAGTAGAATGAACATACAAAAACAATATGATACTTATAGCACTTATAGCATAACACACATACATTTTAAATTATGGACTTGTGCTTTGTAAGTTAACAGTCCACAGTTCTCTTCTTGTCATCTTATTCTCAAATGAAGCAACAAGAATTCAATATTCAAGATACTCCAGTGTAATTTAAAGGCACTGCGCCTGATTTAATATTCATTTTTATTTATTTTACTTTGTATTTGAGCAAAATGTGTCTTTGCCTAGTACAGATATATTGTATAAGCACCTCTTGAGGTCAAAATAAATCTGCTGTGTGCGATCTGCAGCTCATAATAATAAAGAAAAGTGTTTTGTAGTTCAATAATCAGGAAGATTGTGGTTTGCATGCTAGTTGCGGCTAGATTTTGCATGGCCGTTGTCTCTGAAAGCTGTGAAAAGCACTTATAAACTCATTGTGGTGAATATTTAGGATGCTCTTAATGCGTAAGGAAAGTGAGGAAGAACTCTTGACCACTGCAAACTAGTTCAGTTTTTCATGTTTTTGAGACTGTAAAAATCAGGTAGAGTTCCTGTACAGTTCCTAAGTTATGCTTCAATTTCTTAAATGTAGAGATGCAAGATTTTTTTTAAAGAATAATAAGTGTAGCCAAAATTCCAAGTGATTTCTTCTTGTCTGTCTTGTCCCAATACACTGGCAGGAGGATGAGTTCAAGTAGACCAGATACCATCAGGAACTATTGACAGTCCTGGTTCAGTCTTGGATCAGACCTGGTTCAGTTTTGGTTTAGTCCTGCTTCAGTCTTGGTTTAGTCTTGGTTTAGTCCATTAACAATACAGCACAAAGTTACGTACCAAACCATAAATTTTGTCAGAGTTGGTGGACGGCTCCATAAATGTACAAGGATGTTAATAAGAATCAGTAACTTTGCATTGTCAGTAAACTTCTTGAGAATGCCTTGAGAAATCCTTCATTAAATAACAGATTTTAAATATATATTTTGTTTTTACACTGAAAAAATAAAATAAAATAAACATCTACAAAACCTAATTCTGCACTATGAAACTTTTTTGGTTGTGGAGCTGTCTGTCTCTACAAAGCATTATTCCACAGCATGGCATTAAATGGAGACAAGGTAATACCACCCAACCAAATTACAAGTCAGATCTGTGTAGAGGAAAGCCTGCAGATCACTGGAAGAGTGCACGTTCGGTGGATAATTTAACTATAACACCTGTAGTGTAGAAGACCCAATAAGATTAAGTTGGTGTTGTGAAACATCCTTCAGTGAAACTTCAGAATCTCAGAATTATTGATGGTTGAGACACTTTTGGCAGTGTAGCCGTAGCTTTTTGTTTTTTGATTGACAAGTCATTCGTCCCGGCCTCCTTCCACCATCTTGTATCTCTGTCGACAAGAAGGCAGATTTATGGGCCATGAGAACTCTATGGGAACAACTGTCTGGACATTTTTCTCCAAAAAGTTAAAGATCGGATTCCACCAAGTTCTAGACAGGAAGTTGCTCGGGGCTCGACGCAGTAACTAAAAGAAAAAGAACAAAATACCGTTAAATATGGATACTGCAAAAATATGAGTTAAAAAGACAATTTGAGATAGTCATCTCGACTCTTGTGGCTCTGGGCTAGTTACTATTATTACACTGGCCATGGTTTTCAAGATGTAAGTTTACACAAGTTGTATTCAATTTCATTTATGTGCCAGTATTGTTTCACATAATTTCTGGACTTACACTGCCCTCTGCTGGTTACATTTGTAAAAGCAGAAGTTCATAAACTGGAAAACTTGCTGCTAGATGCTGCTAGACACCAATGGCTTAAAAATCACAAAAATTGCTAATTGCTCTAGCTTTGTCTCAGAATTTTAATTATTTTTCAGCATTAAAGCCACACTAAGGGTCAGTCCATATGAAATCAGCCATTTTCAAGGAATCTCCCCTATGAGCCATCTCAGATTTGGCTGAAAATTTTTCCAAAAATTTGTAAAATCACCAAATGAAAGAATCTTAAATTTTGGGGCCATGCTCACTTTTTCGGAAGCCTTAATTTATAAGCATGTTTGAGAGAGCATAACTTCATAAAAGAATAGAGTTAGGAAGCTGAGAATTTAGATTTTTATAGATTCTTGTATAGATTCTGAATCTGTTGTCAAATATTGTGTGTCTTTATTAACGCTGTGGACCCCCAAAATCTCACATTTGGTTGCTGCTCAATAATTTATTTATTTATTTATTTTTTGAGGTCCAAGATCTATTTACTCCAAGCAGATATTTACAAACTGTTGAACCTGAATATTTGAGAGATTGTCCATTTCAATCTCACACTTTTCTGAGCTTTCATGTGGATGGTGTAGAGTCCCAAATCTGGTCATAGACCAAATGTGATCTTTTTGGCCCCTTCTGTGGACCCTTGGTTCCCCGTGTGGGCACAGTTAGATGTTGATCATTTTTTTAACCAGAGAAACTGGCATATTAATGTTAGTTAATTAAGTAATAAAAACATCTACTATTAACTTCCTTCATTTCAAACGGAATTTTTGAAAATGAGCTCTCACTGGTCACTTTAGGTGGAGCTTAGGTACTTTTCCACCTGCTAGAAAAATGTTATTATCTTAAACTCTAACTGCGCAAATTTCAGCTTGCTAGCTCTATTTTTTATGAAGTTCTGGTCTCTCATACATGCTTATAAATTAAGGCTTCAGAAAAAGTGAACATGGCCCCAAAATTTCAAGGGGCCATAACTCAGGAACGACTCAAGGGATTGAGGTATTAAACTGATCTGTCTTGCACCCAGTTACAATTGTTTTAATGCTCAAGTATACATTAAAAAAACTGTCATCCTTACATATCCTTCTACATATCTAACTTATAACTTGGCCTGAATCCTGACGTCCAGAGTACTACACTGCGGAACATTCCATAAAAAGCAGTAACATCTCCACGGCGATAAGAAGGTGACACATCCGCTATCATAAAAGTGACAGTGTACATTTCAAGTTAAGTTAAAGTATGAGATCCTTACGTGAGTGTTGGCCAAAGTGTGGTACCACCAGAAGAGGCGTGTGGTGATGTAGTAGGCGACCACGACGTCGACGCTGTAGTGCTCATGTCCCACCAGGATACAGAAAACCCCAGACACGCTGAGGATCCAACAGGCCCCATGGTACCACCACATCCAGCGAGGAGAGTCTGCAGGGCAACACAGACGCTTCAGTTAAGGATGAAGGTTTAACATGATCACATTCAGTCACTTAAGATGTGCTCACACCATTTGTCAGAGATGGAGTTTGGGTTTGTGAGCGCTACACCACCAGTCAAAAGTTTGGACACACCTCCTTATTCAATCTATTCAATCTATCCTTATTCAATCAATTCAAGGCATTAAATATATGAAGCAAAATATATGGAATTGTGTAGTAAAGAAACAAAGTGAAGTAACCAAATTGTCTTCTATAATGCAGGGTTGTCAAACTCAAATTCACAGAGCGCCAAAATTAAGAACTGGGACTACCTTATTTTCCACATTCTTAAGCCTCCAACCCCATCAAAAAATGACTGCACGAACCGCAATCCATAGCGCCCTATACACGAATCCACTCAGGTGTCCCAGCACGACTTCAGTAAACTACAAACCACCCGCAGAACACACAAACACACACGGAGCAGACAGCGACCGCACAGCGAAAAACACCCACAGACACACTCATCACTCCACGCCAACGAGGAACGGAACAGAGGAACGAACCGAGTGCAATGTGCCACTTCTAGACACGACTGAACAACTGAGTTACTGCGAACACGCCGACAATCCGTTGGTCCCAGACACACCCTCCCTACACGCCACAACTGAACAAAGCCCAGAGTCACCGTGAACGAACAAACAAACAAAACCACTCACCCATCACACTGTTGTTTCGTTTAATGCACCTTATAGTCCGTGCGCTTTATATGTGAAAAAGTTCGAAAATAGACCATTCAATGACAGTGCGCCTTATAATCCGCAGTAGGGATGGGCATGATTAGTCGATTAATTGATAATTGATCATTAAGAATTTCATCGATTACGTTAATTTTAATCGACAAACCGAATGTATGTTGCTGTGTGTAGTGTGACCAAACAGGTGTGTACATGTGTCTCTGCATCAGAAGGAGCAACACACAAACAGTCGGTCAGTCTGCAACGTGCCAAAGTGCAAATGTGTATTTAACGATGACTTGTACAAGAAATTCCACGCTTTCTGTTCCAGTCGGGACAAGTGTGAGTCCATGTGCACAGTGTATAAAGCAGCACATATGTTTCAGTGTCCAGCGGGAAAAAGTTTTGCCAGGTGAGAGTCGCTCAATGTCGATGACGAGTCCCCACCTCCCTCCCCGGTGGGAGGTGGGAGGGGGTTTCGGTGTCCTGGTTTTGACAAACGCAAATCTGGTCACACTAACCTGTATTCCACCGAGTCGTGTCCTTCAATCCGACAGAAGTTGAACCGCATCAGCGACACAAGAGCTGTAGTTTTATCTTCGCTTAGTTTATGCAAATTAGCAATGTGGTTTTAAGTTTCGTTTTTGTGAGAGTTGCACAAAACGGGCTGATGTGGCTCTAGAGTCGTTACGGTTTATATGTCGTAAAGTTGAATTTATTTATGCAGATTAGTAGTGCAGATAGTAATAATAATGATGATCATTTTAATATAAAAACGCTAATGATTAATTGATAATTGGCCCTCGCTTGTTAGTGGCGAGGGGTATTGTTCTTCGTCGGTTTCTTTTTTTTTTTTTTTCCCCACATTGAATCGCATTTTTGACCCCCTGAACATGGACGAAAAATCCCCAAACCGGGGTCCAGATCGATCGGTTCGGCGAAAAATTTGATAAAATGGGCATCGCAACAATGACCCGAGTGACCCGACTCAACAGCGCCACCTAGAATTGGACCCCTATGGGAGTGGGGACAGGCAAAGTTTGTCGCAGGGAAACGAAATTCGGGACAGTGATAGAGAACAACGAGACAAGGCAAAAGATGAATTGGAGCATGACCCTATGACAAACAGGAAGTCGGCCATATTGGATCAAACATTCGCCGCCGTTTTGACTTGGGGGTCTACAAAAAGATTCAAGTCCCCGGGGTTTGGTCCAAATGAGCTCAGATTTGACATGACACATCTACAGACATGAACTCACAGAAGTTGCCAATTTTTTTTGGGATACTCCTTACGGTTCGCCCGTAGCACGCCGCCGAATAACGCCTTCATTTCCTGTTTTTTCGGTGACCTGTCACGGCCACAGGCATTGGCCTACAGAACTCAAATTCAAATCACAATTGTGTGATCCAGGCCTGAATGTGATGAAATATGAACTCTAATAAAAGTGAACTCTATAGCGCCCCCTAGCATAGACATGAAATGTCAACATTATAGGATTAGCACCAACTTTGGAAATAAAATTCTATGCATGATTACAAGCAAAAAAGTCCATTACGGACATGGGATATTTTTCACAGTTGGCCAGTAGGGGCGCCCCCAACAAATAGTTAAAAATTGATTACACAAACAGGTGTTGTCCGATCGTGCTGAAATTTGAATCATTAATGAATGATCCCAGCCTGAATGTAATACACTATAAAACATATGAAAAATGAACTCCATAGCGCCCCCTAGAATACACATGAAATGTCAACATTATTGGATTTGTACCAAATTCAGGGAATAAGTTCTATGCATGATTATGAGCAAAAAAATAAATAACGGACATGGTGCATTTTCCTGCTGTTGGCCAGTAGGGGCGCAATGACTCCTAAAAATATTTAAAGGTGCATTATGTAATGTGCCTAATGGACGAGCTGTCGGCCTGGGCGGATGTCGGGAAGAGAGGGTGGCATGGCGGGGCGTTCGCAGGTCCCCGGAGGTCGCGTGGGAGGGGAGTGCGCGCCGGGGCGAGGGCCACCATCGCCGCGCGCGGCTTTAATTGATCGTTAATTCTTCTGACGATCGATTAAGAAAATTTCATCGAATGCCCATCCCTAATCCAGAGCACCATATAGTGTGGAAAATACGGTAAATTGTGGGCCAAACTAAATATTTATTGAAAAATTTCAACAACATCTGCATGTTTTCTCTTCTTTCAAGATTTGTAATGTTAAACCTTTTGCTTAAACACTGAATCCAGAACAAGCATAATATAAAATAATAACATTTTTAAATAAATAATGTCTCTATAGCTGATCTGTAGCTTTTTAACTCCTTTTAAATGTTTTTTTTTTTTTTTCACAAGCCAACAACCAGTCAAAAATAACAACTTGCTTTAATGAAAATCCAATATTTCACAAAGAACAGTCAAAAATCATAAAGAAAACAATTCATCCAAGCTCAGTTTGCTACACTGTAATATTAGCGCCATACTGGAGTGAATATTCAGATCAGAGAGAGCCACTTTAGATTTTAAACAACTGGATTTCACCACTGAACCTGGCAACCCAAATGATAGACTTGTGTGCATTCTGACTGTATAATCGTGTTGAAAACCAAAACACCAAATTATAAAATTAAAATCATGCTCTGTGTTTTTGTGATTAAGAATAAATCAGTATTACAGTTGTTATCAGTAAAAGCCATATTAGATCTGAACATGTCTACATCACATCTGGGGACACAGTTGGGTCACGTTTATGAAAATGAGTATAGTATATGATTCTAGATTTTCTTTAATTCTTTTCTCTCTATTTAGAACACACTGGCACATACACGTGGTACTCACACTCTTTGATGAAGAGGTAGGACAGCGTGAGCATCACAGTGTGTCCGCTGTACAGGAAGTCCCCACACATCAAGTGAGAGCCCGTCATCGACAAACCTACCAATGGAAAAAGTGCACTGTAATTAGATGCAAATATGGTCAAATCCAGGAGACATCTTAAAATATAAAAATTAAATTACACAAAATTGACTCTTGTGAACTTTGAGCCACGTTATAATGCTGTTACTTCACCAAAAACAGACCTGCAGTTGTGTTTTGTTTCATTCACCCATGTTTGAGTAACCCTTTATTATTAGTCTGTCTGCATCTCCAAAGCTCAAAATGCTCTGTTCCACCTTGTGATGTCATGAAGTAGTTCATAAAGCGTCATGAACTCTTGTCTCACTTTCAATATCGACAAAACTGTTTCTGTTTTTTACAAATCGTCACAAACTTCAAAACTATCCTGAAGTTCTGATGGAAGGGCAGAAGATTAACAATGTTGATCAGGTGAAATATCTAGGAGTTATTCTGGAACCAAATTTATGTTTTAAAAGCACATTAAAATGTTAACAAATGCCATAAAATTTAACATGGCCAATTTCAGATATATTAGAAACTCCCCTGACTCCCTGCCTCAAGTTGGTCACAGGCTTGTAAATCACCTCTGAGGTCTCTAGAATCATTATATAAAAGCGCTTTCAAGATCCATGACAAAAAAAGTCATCTCTTCCGTCATTGTCATGTTCTTGTGAAACATAGTATTTTAAGTTTTGAAAATCTGATAATGTACGCAAATGTTTGTCTGCTATTTAAGATCATTCCTGGTACTGCTGCTCCTCCTCTAAAACAGTTTGTTTCTCTGAGCTCTGAAACAATACATACATACATACATACATACAACACAGTATATCAATAATATAATTGTTAGAGTAATAGATGCATCAAGAATTTCGGACTTCCGGTCATTGCAAAATGCATACTGAAAAAGTGAGCATCAAACCGCCATGTTTGTTTTCCCAGTGTCTATTGACAAAGTCAGTCTTTTCTAGTCTTTTGAACCATATCACTTTTGTTTCTGGTTCTGATATTGTCATATTTTAGTTTTGGGATTCGGACATCGTAATTGTGTGGTTGTTGGATCCTAACAGCGGAAAATGGCTCGAGAAATTTGTTTGTGAACTCCATAAATGCAAAAGGGAATCAGATCTGTGGGACTGCAAACCTCTGTTCAAACTGTTTTCCTTCCCAATTCCTTTTTGCATTTATGGAGTTCACAAACAAATTTATCAAGCCGTTTTCCGCTGTGAGGATCCAACAACCACACAATTATGATGTTCGAATCCCAAAACTAAAATATGACAATATCAGAACCAGAATAAAAGTGATATGGTTCAAAAGACTAGAAAAGACTGACTTTGTCAATAGACACATCCCACTGGGAAAACAAACATGGCGGTTTGATGCTCACTTTTTTCGGAAAATCCTTCCCAGTATGAATTGTGCAATGACCAGAAGTCTGAAATTCTTGATACATTTATTGTATCATTAAAAAAACAAAACACATATTTAAGTAATTACCTCCTCCTGAGATCAGTCGCAGAATTCTCCAGATCTTCCCTGTGGAGTCATTGTAAAGCTAAAAACAAAACATTAGATATTGTCACATTAAATAAACTATTCAGATCATATATTTGCACATATTTTTTGTACTGGTCCTCAAAATGGCGTCCGTAACAGGTCAAATGATCACATCACTGAGTGGCATAAAGAGCAGTTACCTTGGGCGCGCAGACCATGTGTTTGCCTGGGACTGGCAGGGTGGTGACGTACATGGTGATACAGCGGTACATGTACAGGGTCCCGATCAGGAAGAAGCAGCGTCGGCCCACGATCGCCCTGAAATAGAAAAAATAAATCACTTTTTTTTTTTTAAACGAAGATTTTGTATTTATTGATTTTTACATCAACTGGACACTGAAAACTTTCTATGAACATGTGCGTCATATAGTCTTCAACAATGGAAGAACTTGTAAACAAGATTGAAATAAATAATTTTCTCTCTTAAAATTTGATGCAGACTTTTTAACCCAAGTTGAAGCTGTTGCCTGTTTCAGCCAGCAGGTGGTGCCCTTTCACATGCTTTGACCTCTGGTACAGACAACTAAAGGTGCAAGAAAACGACTCCAACTATTTGTGAAACTAACAATTTGAAAGTTAGACAGTGTGTTGGATTTTCCACTGTTCCACATTCTTGCTCCCTCTCCTCCAATGCACCCATTTTCAAGAAACTGATGTGTGACGTTCTTGTTCACATCATAATTTACAAGTTATAATTTTGTGCAATGTGAAATTACACAAAAACATATGTAAACACCAAAATACTGCCTCAGCCTCTCTGTGTGGAGAGTTCAGGCCCTACCTCGTGGATATCTGTGATTATTGCTAGAACATTACAATATATTGTTCATGTTAAAGCTCCCACCTGTAATTCAACTGTTATGGCCTAACAGAAGAAGAGCAGAGAGCCCAGGTGAGCTTGAACTGACTAAGTGAATGGCATTCAGCTCCAGTCAAATGAAACTCACTGAGGCTGGCAGTTACAGGGCAAATTTGGAGTCAGATTCCTTATTAGGATATATATATATATATATATATATATATATATATAATATATATATATATATATATATATATATATATATATATATATATATTTTTTTTTTATTATTCTCATTTCTTTTGTGTGTCTTTTTTTTATATATGTATACACGTGTGTGTGTATAGGAATGTATATATAGAGGTGTATGTATGTATGATGGATGCATGTATGTAGATGGATACATATATACTTATATATGTATATGTGTCTATGTATGACATATATGCATAATATGTATGTTTGTTGTTCGGTTGGGGGTGGGAAGGGCAAAGACAGCTTATTATTTTGCTTTATATTTTCTTGTTTTTTAATAAATAAATAAATAGATGGGGGAAAAAAGAATAGGAATTATTTTTACAGACAAAATAGCAAAATAAAAACAGCAGGATCATGTAAATGGGTAAAAGTCACATTTTTGTACTGCACTTTTCCACCTTCAAGACACAGTTCTTTACATCAAGGAAGCACTCACCCATTCACACACACATTCATAGACCCGTGTACACAGACACTAGGGGCGAGGTGAGTTAAGTGTCTTGCCCAAGGACACAACAACAGCATTCTTCTGTGGGAGCTGGAATCGCACTAAACAATCTGTGGGTCAGTGGATCTGACCGCTCAACCTGTGATGTTTATTTGAACCACCAACCTTTGGATCAGTGGATAAAAGCTCGACCAACTGAGCTACTGGTGTCCCATTGTCCCATGTAGAACAGGTTCATATGAACAGTTTAAGACCAAAGCCCACAAAGTGAAGTGGAGCCAAAAGCGCACTCCTGCTCACTTCCTATTTGGAACGTGGCAGCAAGCACAGTAGCTACGTCCATTTATATCAGTGGTGGATAGTGTAGGACTATTTAGTGTCAGACTGTCACACGTGTGGAGGAACACGTGTCCGTTCTGAACCTGCTCCACTTCAGAAAAATACAGCATGTTTCTTCAGACGTGGTTTGGATTTGCATGTGAGAGGTGAGTGTGCTGTTCTAACACAGGCCTGTGTTTGCACCTGTCTGACCAGTGAGTGCACTGTTGTTCTTATCTTTCCATGGATGTTAATCTTGTATAGTAAGTCCACACATTTGTTGTATGATTTCTAAATGCATTATAATAATAAGAGATAGACATAGATAACAATAGGTACAGTAGCAGTGAAGGGTCAGTTGTATAAAGACGGTGTAGGAGTGAATTTGTGAAGAAACAAATGAGCCGGATTGTAAAAACAAATATATGACAGTAAAAATAAATATACTCATTTGCAATGTAGCTTGTTTAAAAGGAAATGACTGCTGATTTCTGTTTAGAGTCTACGGGCTGAAGTGAGGGGAGGGGATAAGTTTCACATGTGCAATCTACTTAAAAAAAAAATCAATCAATCAATCAATCAATCAATCGAATAAACGTACAGATGGTAGCTTTAAAGTTGCATTTTGTAACTTTTTTGGTGGAGGGTCTGACAGATGTTTACTCCGTGGAGATAGTATTGCTTTGTCTGGAATGTTTCACAGTATGGAATTAAAGCTTTCTATCTTCATGGAGACCAACTACAATAAAATCTGGAAGGTGAACTCAAGATGGCGTCATATTGTTTTCAGGGGCCTGTGCTCATTGGCGCATGGGCCCAAAATTAATTTTCTCTTCCACATTACCGTATTTTCCATACTATAGGGTGCGCTCTTAAGCATCTAACCCCATCAAAACAGGACAGCACGCCCCGCAATCCAGAGCACCCTATACACAAATCCACTCGGGTGTCCCAGCATGACTTCAGTAAACTACAAAGCCACACCACCCACAGAACACACAAACACACACGGAGCAGAGGAACGAACTGAAAAGGTGAGTGCAATGTGCCACTTCTAGACACAACTGAACAACTGAGTCACTGCGAACACGCCGACAATCCGTTGGTCCCAGACAGCACCCTCCCTACACGCCACAACTGAACAAAGCCCAGAGTCACTGTGAACGCCACAAACAAACAAAACCGCTGACCCATCCAACTGTTGTGTTTCCTTTAAAGTCCAGTACGGTGTATTTGTGAAAAAAGTTTGAAAAAAGACCATTCTATGACAGTGCGCCTTATAGTGCAGAAATGACAGTACTTCCTCAACACGGGTTAGCTCCTCCCACCCGTGTGACATCTGTAATGAGCACAGCGTGGAGCGTTTGGACCAATCAAAGCAAGAGCTGCTTGAGCAGATTCTTCCAAAGCAAATTTTTAGGCTCTTTGAGGATTTTAGAAAAGAATCCTACAAAATCCAAACTTTGTGAAAGTTCTCAATGCCCTGTCAGCCGAACACGTGCAGTTTGAATTCTTGAAAAATGCATTGCACGGGAGAATTCTTTTTGGGCCCAAGCTCCCAGGAGCTGCAGTACCTGGAGCGGCCACTAGTCAATCTCAAGCTGGGACAGAGGGGGAAAACGTATCCATTTTTTATTATAGATCCATGGTTATAGGTCAGATCTGTAGAGAGGCAACCCTGCTCACAGTGAGAATGCCTGTTTTTCTGGGTATTTTTGAACTATTTAATGTCCTACTGTGGAACATTCCAGGCAGAGCAATGGCATATCCATAGAAAAAGCATATGATGGACCCCAAACCAAAAAGTTACACCTTTAAACACATAATATATGCCGTATTTTCCGCACTATAGGGCGTACTTAAAAGCCTTTAATTTCATCAAAAAACAACTGCGCGTCTTATAATCCAGAGCACCTTATATATGAATTTATTGTGTCTTAGTACGACTTTAGTAAACTACAAAGCCACACCACTTGCAGCATTATGGCTCCCATAGTCAGGAGCATCAGGAGTAATACATACTGTGATTCCTTTTAATATCAAAATGCACCTGTCAAGAGACACACTTACAACGCCCACTTTAAACTCAAGGCTGTTATAAAGTGAAAGTGTGAGCTGTGTGGAAGCAGTGGATGAGAGAAGGAGAACACACATTCACCAAGACAGAGAGACAGCACCGAGCCACTTACACCACGATCTGCCAATGGATCGTGGACGCCTGGACTAAGGATCAGTATCAACTGTGGTCCGAGCTTTCACCAAGACCAGAATCATCACTGAACTGCCAGGGAACAGTAACCACACAGACTGGACACTGTGCTGGACAACGTAATCGCCCATCTGTTTGAACAATTCTGAGTTATTGTGAATACACTAACAATTTAGCGTCTCAGACAGTTTTTTTTTTTTTTTACGTGTTACAATCGCATTAAGCGAACAACGTTGAGAGTTATTGTGAACACGTTAAATAAAGTCTGACTGACTTATCTAACTGTTGTGTTTCATTTAATGTGCCTTTAGTCCGGTGTGGTTTATATGTGAAAAAAGTTCGAAAATAGACCATTCAATGACAGTGCGCCTTATAATCCAGAGCATCCTATAGTGAGGAAAATACAGTACTCAGATATCAAAAGTACACATTTGTACTATGAACACACATGAATAATAATTAAATCCTTACTTGTGTTTGAGGAAGAGCCACTGGACAAACCACAGTCCCACCAGGATCAGCCCGTTCACCTCTGTCACGGTGAAGGCCCACGGCACACGATCGATGTAATCAAAGAACTTATCTGGCAACGGCGGGTTCAGAGATTTATCAGGGACCCTCTCGTGAACCACCGTTATCACCACCGTCGTAAACACCAGGTTAAACACGGCGTACAGAAAAGCCACGCCCGTTTTCCACCACTCTTTCGGCAGGCGTTTACCACGATCATCTGGAAGCGTGATTTTAATGTAGTCGCAGTGGCGCTTGAGTCCTTTGCTCAGAGTTTGGATGAGGCGTTTCTCTTTCAGAAAACGGCAGATTTTACTGTCCTCCTCGTCGTTTTCCTCATCTTTGACGGTGTTCGCGTTGGCGTCCGCAATGCCGTTGGCGAGATGTGCCGGGGAGTGGGAGGGAGAGTCCACTGTAGTGACGTTGGCTTCCACGTGAATGCGCACATCGCCATCGTCCTGTATCAAGTCCTGGGCGGCCATTATGAAAAACTATGCAAAACTATCGGAAAAAAACTACTGATATTACAAAAAAAAGTATAATATTAATCAAAAAATTTTACAAAATACAGCAAGTCAAATGAAGAAAAAATGAACTTATCCATTCAAAATTTTTCATTCAAAAAAATTTCAAAAGTTGTAATCCATTGCCACTGATCGATGGAATGAACTTGCTATTTTAATGTGAAGACGACAACAAATCAATTTAAAAAAAAAAAAGTATGTAGAAGAGGTAGAAATTTCAAGCACACGTTAACAAAAAAAAAAATTGTCATTTGTTTCAAAAATTCAAGTTTCCAATTCTACGTTGCGACGGTTACAGAACGGCACGTGACTGGTCGATGAGTCGAAAGCGAAGACGCGTGATTGGTCGATTGGTCGAGATCCGATGCACCCGATTGGTCAATAATATGTTCTCTCTCGATGTTGGTTGATAAATTGGCGTTAAGCTCGGAGATGGGACACGGGAATCCAGAAGACGATTCGACAAAACAAACCTGTAACAGAGAAAACAAGAGGTCAGGGCCTGAGATACCGGCACGTTCAGGTTTGGCTGGTTTTATGTCGTCACAGATCAGTAGCAGAGATGATGGTTTAGTGACGGTAATGACACCTTTCATATTTATCATCTGTTGCTGTGGGTTATCAAGCGTGAAAACAAAATTCCTTAGTAAAGTTTAGTGCTATTCTAATAATTACCATTCTGACTTGAGTGTATTACAGCTAAAACGATATATTATGGAGTTTAATATTTATCGTGTATACAATTTCTTTTTGCTGTTTTTATTAAATAACTCTTTGAGCTTTAGAGGGTATAATAAATAACTTCTATGGTTAAATATTGGTTATTTTTTACATGTATTTGTTGCAGCTCAGGCCTTATAATGATACTAGATTTAAAATTAGATTTAATTCAACATTTGATGAGTTGTGTGATCCTCTGTGTTTTTTAAAAATTTATGTATTTTTATTGGTTTTATTAATTTATTGCTATTCTGTGGTTTTGCTCTTATTTTATTTTACTGGTTTTATTATTTTAAGACTAGTATGATTATTTTAGTAGTTTATTTTTTCATTTTATTGTTATTATGTATTTGTGCAGCACTTTGGAAACTGTTTATGAAATGTGCGACAGAAATAAAGTGGATTGGATTTGGCCCATGTAAAAAAAAAAAAAAAAAAAAAAAAAAAAAAAAATCAATTTTGAAGCTAAATTTGAGGCTCAATCCTAGATACAGATTATTACTATACAATATTTTTCCTTTGACTTCACATATTGACACTTGTTCAAAGAAGTATCTACTAGTATCAGATAATATCTGGTAAAGGTTTATTAAACCAAAAATTTGTTTTAACATTATACAAGCGGGAAAATAAAATTAATTCAAAGTGCAGCTTGGTAAAACTAATAAGTTACATAAAATATTCTCAAATAAGAAACAAATGCATGAAATATTATTATTATTAAAAATGTATTTGTTGTAAACAGTAAACAAAACTTTTCAAAAATGTAAAGTGCAGCACAAACAGTTCCAGCATGAAGTTTTACTCAATCTTATTTTTGTTGGCTTGAAAAACCAACTTGTCCACAGTGTCTGCATACACAATGCATCTTAAAATCTCACAGCAGCTTTTCATTGTTTCTTGAAAAATACTAAAAACATGTTCACATCCGTTCACAGCAAATAGGCAGAGTGTTGTCATACCATTATATTGTTATATTTGATTATATTGGGCTATTAGTTCAAAATTGAGATGCAGATCTGCTGCAGTTGCAATGTCAATGTTGGGGTGGACCAGAGTCCTGCACATGTCCGTTTTTGGAGACCCGCCCTCCCGCACCCGCGCAGTACAGCACCGCACCCACCCGTAAACCAGTGATTTCCTCAAAATTAAACCTGCACCCGCCCAGAACCATTAACATTCCACCCGTTACCCGCCCGTGCACGTGATAAATCACACACAAATTAAAATCATTCTAACTGAATATATCAGAATATGAATTGAAAAGTTACAATGTCAAGAATTACAATCAAGAAATGAAATGAAACGATTACGCTTTCTTCAGTACGAACACGAAGTCACAGACGCGACTCTACTGTCCCCACTTCACAGGCTTTATTTACAGAGCAGAAGAAACATTGATTGAAATGCCGGATTTTTGCCCCGCACACAGGACTCTGGGCTGGAGATTCTGTGCCGATGAAAGGCAAAAGTGAGGATTCACATGGTTCAGAGGGACGTATTTGTTGTCAAGGTTGCCGTCCTAACTCTAAAGCGCTGCAGGAAACACTGCCGCCCCAATCACGGACCAGTTCCCTCGTGAATATTAAAGAGCCAAGCCTTCGTGTAGCTGCACATGTAGTGGCGGAATGCAAACACACACAAATTGCACAAACTCACTCATGCGTAGCCCTGTCTAATTTATTCTCTTGACGCACACCAAAATCTGATCCTAATCTGATTTTTGGACCTTTAACATTACTTAAATAACATGTAAATGGGAAAACCCTGTGATGGTCAGAAAGAGATCAGATTATTTGGAATTTTACATGTCATTTTAATAACCGTAGAACTCAGTGTGTGTGATTCGCAGCCACTGATTGCCACAAATTATTTTACTGACTTAAAGTAACACCTTTTATTATTATGGTATCGTAAATTTGATTTTTATACAAAGGAAACATATTACTACTTTCTACTATTTTGAACAATAAAACAAGAATAATTAAACACTATTTTGTCTTTCTGTATCTGGTATCAAATTTTTACTTCCCTACCGTATCATAAAGAGTGTGTTTAGAACTCCACACACCTTCACTAGAATCATATCGATAATCTCAGCCCGGAAACTGACAATCTCTAAAGGTTAAAGGGAGCTGTTAATTTGAAAAGTACCACTTCATGACATGTAGACGGAGATGCAGACAGACTAATAATACAGTGTTACTCAAACATGTGTGAATGAAACTAAACCCAACTCCAGGTCTGTTTTAAAACATGACTTAAAAGGTCATAAGAGTCAGTTCTGTGGACTGTAGGACCTTTAACAGATAAGTTATGGTCCTTTACGATTAGAGTGGGATTATGAAACGTGTGAATGAAAAAGTCTTGAGTGTTTACTATAAGCACAGCAATGAGGAAGTGTGTGCGCGGAGGGGGCGGGGCCAGGCTCAGGTTACTACAGGTCGACTCCATCAATCAGGGCTTTGTGCTGCTGCTCCTAAGACGGGACTGAGGCGGGACTGAGGCGGGACTGAGGCGGGACTGAGGCGGGACTGGCCTGGGACTGAGGCAGGACTGAACCAGGACTGAACCAGGACTGAACCAGGACTGAGGCAGGACTGAGGCAGGACTGAGGCAGGACTGAGGCAGGACTGAGGCAGGACTGAGGCAGGACTGGACCGGGACTGAGCCAGGACCGTACCAGGACCGAGACAGGACTGAACCTGAATTTAAACAGGAGTGAACGAAGACTGAACCAGGACTGAACCAGGACTGAACCAGGACTGGGCCGGGACTGAACGAGGACTGAATCAGGACAGAACCAGGACTAAACCTGGACTAAATCTGGACTGAATAAACCAGGACTACTCGTGGACTATAGGAGTTAACAGGTATTTGTGAGTGTTTGCTAAGTGGGCTGAAGTTACATAAAGACTAAACCCTGCATTTCCCAATGTAAACTACAGTGAGAAAACAAACATTACAACTAACACTTTAAAGTGCACATGAGACACACTCAAATATATCATATGATGTGACAGATGGGCTACAGGTAATTCATCTAAACTGTTAAAAAATAATGAAAACACATTTATTTTATAGGAAAATTTTAACTGACTAAAAGTGCCTTAATTATTTTTAAAAGTATTTAGAAATGTTCTGTTGACAGAAAAGTAGAAGGATTCTGATTCTCTAGAGGGATTCTGTTTTAAACTTCAGCACCATTTCTTGTATTTTCTATATTTACACCCGTTTCTGAGGAAAGTCACATGCATGATTCATGGAAATATAAAGTTAGATACTTTGGAATACTGAAGAAAGCAAAAGAAACAACATTTCCATTGAAACTTGAAGAAGGAGGCCAAAAAATTAGTCAGGATACAAGGCCGTTCACAGTTAGGACACATGTTTTCTAAGTTTTGAGTACAGTAAACTCGTCCATAATGAAAAGTCTATTTTGGGGGAAAAACTGTACAGATTGGAGCTTTAATTTTCCAAGGATCCAAAATAGAGTTCAGATGACTGTGATTGACAGATAGATTAGTCAATCAGGGACACGGATGGTTCATCTATATCAGAAGAAATAAAGAAGAAATTCAATTCATCTGAGGTGAGAGAAATGTGATTTTATTTGTAAATGATACATGACTGATGATCTTACACGATCACATTTGGTCAGAGGGCGTGGGGACCAGATTGATATCTCTCACAAAACAAAAACAAAAACACAAAAGGTATCAGTCTGGATTTCTTAGATAAGGTTTTAACTGATGTGAAACTATGAAAAATATTTACCACAGGAACTACACCGAACCAAAAGATAACAGAAAACCTGCACTTAAATGTAATAGAACCAAACCAGGACAACAATGAATAATCTAAACCAAGTCTCCCAGAACCAAAGCCAAACATAAAGTCCTCATCTAGACCTGTTGTGTTTTGTTGAATGCCGGCTCGAACGTACCCCTGGCTTCAAAGTCCCAGCTCGAGCGTCCCATTCTCCCTCCGGACGCCCCCTTCTCTCAGGCGGCACTCGGGTAACTGCTGTGCCGGGATACGAAGGATGTTCTCGTTTAGTCAGCCACATCACACACTGATGTACTGAGTTAAAAAATCTGCTTCTATGTCACATTAAAATGAAACATGAATGTAGTCAGACCAAATGTCGGGCCTCATTTACTCGCAGAAGTTCACTTTGAAATCATATTTTAATTCATTTTTTCTTGTTCTCTCTGTCCTGTAGCATCTGTAACTGCTGATTTGGGATGAAATATGAATTATTTTCTTAAATAAAAGCAGGGTGCTCATACTGCCCAAATCAGAAGACCATGAAATAAGACCGGGGCTGAGACCGAGACCAAAACTAGGACTGAGACCAGTTCAGTCCTGGTTTAGTCCTGGTTCGGTCCTGGTTTAATCGTGGTTCAGACTTGATTTAGTCATGATTTAGTCCTGGTTCAGTCCTGGTTTTCAGTCCTGGTTTTCAGTCCTGGTTTTCAGTCCTGGTTTTCAGTCCTGGTTTTCAGTCCTGGTTTTCAGTCCTGGTTTTCAGTCCTGGTTTTTAGACCTGGTTTTTAGACCTGGTTTAGACCTGGTTTAGACCTGGTCCAGTCCTGGTTTAAGTCACATACACGGGAAACGGCCGTTATCCTTTTTTTTTTTCCATTTTTCATTTAAACACAAAATCAAAAACTGAAAAAACGAATCATTACCTGTTTTTTCATTTTGGTTTTGGAGACAAATAATGAATAAAATAACCGAATGACACACA